TTTTAAAGGAGGGTGACGAAAAAAGAAGAAAAATTTAGAAAAAATAACAAAAATAAGACAAGAGAAAAGAGAAAGAAGGGAAAGACAGAAAGGAAGATCAGAAGATCAAACTCATCAAAGTAAGGGTTTATATAAAAACAAAAAACGTATCATAACAAAACAATAAACAATCACGTGATCTCGTGTTATGATACGAGATTTTTGTAAAATTATTTTCTAAAAATATTAAGTTTAAAAATTCCGTATACATTCCATATGATTAATTTTTTCCGTATACATTTCGTATACATTAGTTTTTTAAAAAAATGTTCAAAAATGAATTGCTTATTAAATATACGGAATCTGTATACGGAATCTATAGAAACGTACATAAAATGTATACAAAACGTATCCTTTCCGTATACATATTTCTTATAGGGCTGGTTTATAATTAATAAAGATATTGAGGTTAAAATAAAATAATATAATATTGTCTCGTTAAAATATTTTTTTTGGTTATGCGATACTACTGCTTAGGAATTATTTTTGCAAGATTTTCAAAAATAAACTTGATGTCAAAAGATAAAACATTCAATTATTGGTTGTAGATAGTTAATAAGTTAATTATATATTTCCGAGACATAATTAATTTTTTGAATGAAGTTTATTAATAAACATAATTAATGCTTTATACCTATCAACCTCAAAAAATCAATATAAAGGATCAAAATTTATAATCATTTGGATATTTATGTCTTGATTCGACAAATCAAAGAAAAAAAAAATGGAAATGAATTCCAATCAAGATTTCATGATGGTCCAAATATGTTAGAAGAAGCCACTATGGTGGACGTCACCTATAAACCACACTAATATTATGTAACTTCAAATTTTTATAAATTGTAAATTGAATAGTAAAAAGAAAAAACTAAACCGATAAAATGATAGAACAACATGTACTGAACATTTCTATCGGGTTATTTTATAGAATTTAATAAGAATTTTAATTAATATTATGGGTTAAAGTTAGATAATTTTAATAAGTAGCCATAATAAAAACATAAAATTTCGGACTAGTTTTTATGTAATTTTTATGGATTTTACAAAAATTCCATGGAAATCCACAAGAATTCCATGTAATATAGCAAAAAAAAATTTTGCCGCTCACGCGGCAATTATTATATTCTAGCAAAGTACTTTAAAAATAAGTTACACAATATAAATAAATAAAATTTTAAATTTCGGACTATTATTAATATTGTTGTTTATAGGTGACGACCACCATAGTCGAAATAAAAAATTTTAGTCATGTGACTTTCGGCTAAAATTTCAAGCCAAAAGTAATTCAATTTCTGTATTTCTGTTTTTTTTTATAGAATTTATGTAATGTCTATAACTCTATACTATATATCCAGTATAATTTTTTATATAAACTTTTAAAGGTTTATATTTTTTATTTGATTTTTATTTAAAAAATAAAATCAAAAGTTCGCTACGCTAAATTTGGAGATTCGTTGAATCAAAAATTCGTTGTAAGGCGAGTGGACTATCATACAAAATAATGATAATTCGAATTGAAAACATTGTAATTATTCATGATATTTTAATTTCTTTATTAAATATCCAATCAAAACATTTTACTGAAAACGTCACGTTATTTCGGAATTAAAATTTGTTTACTTTAAAATTATTAAGAAGTGATAAATTTAGAAATAATTATTGGTAACAAATTTTTTTGTACAGTAATAGATCGACCAATAATATACTGTAGTACGAGCTAGTTTTTTTTTTTCATTATGATAACTTTATGTAAATTCTTATTAATCTAAAATTAGTTCTTTGATAATTATCAAGGTCAATTAACATTTACAGTAAATAAAACTTATAATTTTTTTTTGTATTGTCTTGAAAATAAAAATTTGTTTTGGTTATACAATCTTCAATTTTCTCTTTTTGACTATAATTTGATTTATATTTGAAATCGATAAAGTTATGATACTACATTAAATGAATGATACTATATTTATAATTTATTTTTGGTTTTTAATGAGAAAATATTTAGAACAAGGATGACACTAAGAATATTAAGGGATGCAATGCATGTAGGTATGCAGATATGCAGCAAACATGAACTTTTTGGATTGACTGATTGGATGAATTTATTAATAATACAATATTGACATATGCTCATCATTGTAGTTTGCATTAACTTACTGATTTCTGATTTCATAATTTTAACTTCAAATAATTTTCCAGTATTAAAAAAAAAAAAAAAAAAAAAAATCTCTTTAGTTCGGGGATCCTCCTATAGGTCACAATAACTTTAATTCGCTTACTTAAATAATGCTTTCAGAAAAAAAAAAATAAAAAAAAAATATTTATTTATACAGTAACATTTATAAGAACAAATATGACAAACGTAGAATATGGAGGATATGAAAATATAAAAATTATAGAAATTGATAGATGTTCAGGGTGTGGTCAAAAGTTTGCTGATGAAATATTATCTTATTGTAAGCCATGCTATTCATCACATTTTCGTAATAACTTTGTCCACTGGAAAAGTGGTAGTTTAAGAATTGATAAATTGATTCAAGATTCACAACTCAATGCAAATCATCAATATGAATTAATTGAATGGATTGAATATTCAAACCTTGAAATTATTAAATTTGTTGCTTATGGTGGGTTTGGAAATGTATATGAAGCCATTTGGAAAGATGGTCCAATTGACTCTTGGAATATCAACAAATCTGGATGGAATCGGAACAGCAACAAGAAAGTGGCAATAAAAAAATTACGAAATGTGACTAGTGTGAGTTCAGAGTACTTGAATGAGGTATATAATTTAAAATAATTAGTTATAAATGGAATAATAAAATGTAATCATATTCACACAATCTAATATTATATTGCAGGTCAAGAATAACTTGATGTTAAATTACACAGCACGTTGTAATGGAATTTATGGAATGACACGTGATACTCAAAATGGAGAATATGTAATTGTCACTGAATTCCAAAATGATGGTAATATGAGGGAATTGATTAAAAAAAATTACAGTATCCTGAATTGGAAGCTCATTATTAAAATGCTTTATAATATTTGCGATGGATTGAGTGCCATTCATGATAAAAATTATCACCATAGAGATTTCCACAGTGGTAACATCTTGAATAGTATTCATAATAATACTATTAAATCAGTGATCTCAGATTTTGGCTTGTGTAGTCCTGCAAATCAAAGTTCTGCAGATAAATCATTGTATGGAGTCTTACCATTTGTCGCACCAGAAGTTTTACGTGGTGGAGAGTTCACCAAATCAGCAGATATTTACGGGTTCGGAATGCTAATGTTAGAAATAATTAGTGGTAAGCACCTTTTGTTGATAGAGATTATGACTTACATTTAGTTCTGGCTATTTGCGAAGGAGAACGTCCGCCAATTCCTGAATATACGCCTGAGCCATATGCTACTTTGATGGAACATTGTTGGGATCCTATTCCTACCAATCGACCAACAACTGATGAGTTGTATGGGCAAATTGTAAAATGGGAAACAGTTATATGTAAATTTGAACACAGCGATAGTCAGGTGGAAACGAAAATAAAAATTAAAGAAGCGTTTAGCCATGAACGGGAGGAAAAGTGGAAATTACAATTAGCAGAATTAGCTGCAAATTCATGTCCTCTGAAAAAATCACAAAATATGCTTGCTAGTAAAAAACTTGACTGTCTCAAACAACTCACTGCAGCGAAGGATGTTGAAATGAAGACGAACGACTATAGTATGTTGTATACTTTATAAACTTAAGTAAACAATATTTTAATCTAACATATTATATTATTATTAATAGTATACTGTACTCGGCAATACGATTTTTCTCTCTCTTTAGAAGGATCAGATAATAATGAACGGGTATAATTTTTTACAATCTCATTTAAAGTTAAACTGTAAATTACTACATCAGACACATTCCAATTAAAATTATATTTTTTTTTAAAACTAAAAAAAACCAAAATTCTTTTTATTTCACGCTAGGCTATTTAAATTAACAAGTTCCATTTCTTTAATCTAGCCAAGTTTAGCTATAAGATAATTGATAAATTCTGTGGTATAATTTGAATAACTATATGAAATAAAAAAAAATGAACGAAACAAAAAGATAATGCCAAAATTAAAGACACTTTGAGTTAAGGTTATAAATAATAATCTTAATATATGATAAGAGTACCTTAAGTACCTTGTTATTTTGAATTTGTAAAATTATTCATAATAAACAAATTGTTAAACTGAAATTAATAGGAGGGGATAGAAAAGATTCATAGCAAATAAAGAAATTATAAATATAACATATGATAACACTTACTGTTAATTTTCCGAAACAGAAATGATGCTTACCAAAACAATCCAAAATGATGTATTAAATAAACTAATTTTTGAATTTATATTCGTCACTATTTATTTTGATAAAATCGTAAAATATTATTCGTTGTTATTCATGCGAGAGAAACACTAAATTAACAAATTCTGATAAATCTAAATAAACTTTCAAAATTCTTATTATTTATTAATCTGTTCTCTTTTCCTATTCTTTTTTCGGTTTGTATATTGTGCATTTTTTACTTTTCTCACTTCTTATTCCAGGTTCAACGAAAGCTTTTCTAGCCATTTTTTTATATACAGTAATTCAAATGCTTTCATTTTCATTTTTTTCAGTTCCAATCCCATATCGATAAAAAATTTATTCTTCTTATTATCATTTAATAAATAATTAAATATATCGTTTAGTGCATTTTGTTTTCGAATATTATACTGTATGTTTTTATAGTCATATTCATAATAAATTCCTTTGAATAAAATCTTCATATAATAAAATCAATATCTAAACAAATAATTCTGTTGTCGCGTATATTCTCATTAGTGGTATCATATTTGTATGCAATAAATTAATAAATTATTCATATTTAAATTAATCGATTTTAATTCAGAAAGTTACTTATTGCATATAAATTTACAACTTCTGATACACCGATTGATTATATTAATAACTATAAAAGTATAACCATCATTATTATTTATTTGATTTCTTAAATATTTATTGCATCAAAGAATAATTTAAATAAAATTATTTTTTTTTTTTAGGATGCTAGCAGATGATAGATCAGACCAAAAGTCGACATTAATGTTTAAAATTTTAAACGGAAAAAGAGAAAGATTCAAATGTTCTTTTATTAGACGAAATTCCCATAAGAGTACGTTCACACGTTCAATTTCTTATTCGCTTTATAACGATGTAATTTTTTATAATATCAGTAGAAACATTTGAACTTATGCGAAAGACAAAAATCAGCTAATTTAATCGTTTTTTTCAGTATGAACTAAATAAACTATTAGAATGCCATTTTATAAATATTAATACATTTGACAAATATTTGAAATCAAATTGATCATTACTTACTAGGTTACGACGTATAATATTTTTCGATGTATGAATCGTAAAACGTAATTTAATATTCCAATCTAACTCGCTGAAATAATCTCTCAATATACCATTATTGGCATATTCGAAAAATAAACAAATAACCTGAATCAACGTTGTCTTTATCATCTTTATTATTGTTGTTGTCTTTATTATTTTTATCATATAAAAGAAAGAAAATATTATTTTAATGTATTTTTTAAATCAATACATGCATTTTTATTTAATAAATTTAATTTATATAATTTATATGTACTTACTTTTTATTGATAATATTATTGAATAAAATTAATTTTCATAAAAATATTATTCAATTTTTTGGTATAAGTAAAATTTAACTAAGAAACATTAAATAATACGTAATAAATTTTATACATATACCTCATTATCATAAAATTGTTACCATTTTAAGAGATATTAATGTAACGATAATATTCGATAAACTTTCCCAAATCTTCTATCGCATTTATATTCTATATTTTGGAATTCGTTATATGTTTATTAGCTTTGATATATCGAACCCATTTATCTTTATTAATTTTATTATTCATTTTTTTTTTTAAAAAAAAAGGATATCAATATTTAAGTACGGTGGGAAAAAATTCCTTTTTATTATTTGATGACGACCGATCTATAAAGTCATTTTAAAAATGCATAATAATACAAGTTGCATGATTGCATCATTGCATCCTATTGAGGAATGTGGGATTTAGTTCAAATTCGTTATGGGTATAGGCGAGTGAAAATAATCTAAATAATCTAATCCATTAATAGAAAGAATTTCTTATTTTTAATTTAGACCGCAAATATTCTTTCACTATATTTGGATAGTTTTAAAAAAATTGCTTAAAATAAGTACTATGTTGTCAATTTGGTTAGCCAATATTGCAATATTGCATAAATCAAATACTATCGAAAAAGAATTTGGAACCGATTATAATAAACCAGTTTAAAAACCGGTATAAATTATAGTACCATTGGAGGCTTAATACAACATTATTTACATTATTTTGATATTTGTAATTATGTAAATATAAATAAACAAAATTACAAATTTGGCCATATATAACATCATGTATCACATGAGGGAGAAATCTCCGGTTAACAATTTTCGCATTTGATTCATGTCTAACATATTGATTTCTCAAATCGATCATTGATTAAGCTTAATTAGTAACAATAAAAAATTTTTTTTAAATATGATTGGTTCTGGTTTAGAATTTTGCAACTTAAGAAATTTTATTCTTTCGCGTTTCATGAAAAATATGTTACTAAAAATATTCTTCTTTGCAAAAAATATGCTACTTAATATTTTGATAAAATTTAAATTTTGTAAATAAAGAAGGCTTTAAAAGGCTTATTATAATGATCTTTGTTAATTTTTTATATAAATTACAATTTATTAAATATTTTGATGTAAACCCATTTAAGGTTCTAACATTACAAAACAACTAAAAAAATTTTAAAATCAGGTTTTCTTTAAAAATAAAGAAATAAAAAGAAATGTTGAAAAATATTAGTATTTGATAATAAGTAAAGTTCCAAACCGAAATACTTCTAAAGAAAGAATATCCAGTACCACGAGAAACTTACCATGGTTAATGAAAGAAATCCTAAATAATGTACCCAAGCGTCCCTAAAAAGAGGAAAAGGAATTTTCAAAGAAAAGAAAAAGGACGAAATACTTTAAGGTGATTGTCCAGAAAAAAAGGAAGTGAGAAAAAAGGTGAGAACAAAAAGAAGTGGAACTTATCACATTCTTAAATAGAAAATACTAAATTAAAGCGTACAAGTGTTCCAGAGTCTCCTTGGGTAGTATTGTAAACCACATGAATATTTATTAATAAATATAGATTGGTGGTAAGTTTTAAAAATTAAATTAAAAAAGAAAAAAATATTGTAGGTATTATATTTTATTAGGTGATTTCGTACCGCACCTGTAAGTTTAAGTTGTATTTATATAATATAAACATCCAAAGAATCAGGTACGGTAAGATCGAAAGCATATCGGTTAAAGTTTCATACCTAAAAGCAATAAAGTACAATGCCGTGACAAATACACAAGAATATGCCGTAACCAAATAGATAACACCTGTATTATAGTATAGGCAAAATTTAATTACGTCAAACGGGTATCAACGGATCGTAATTAATCCAATATATCGAGATGATCAAAGATCCAATTCGCGCATATTTGAGTTAACGTTTGTAGCGAAACTTGTTTATGACTGGCAAACTTAGCGAAACACGACCAAATTTTCGAAACTGGCGTAAACTAACGAAACTTTCGCTCTGGATTTTTGCAGTATATTAAAGTAAATATGGGGCGTATCATTAATTATCTTGAGTAAATAATTTCTTTTTAATCTTAATCTTATGTACAGTACATGTGTGTTTTTATATTTATATTTAAAATTGAAAAATCTGTCATATTAATTTGTCATCAACTTTAACAGCTGGATCTCATACACTGTTCTTTCCTAAACTATTTTCGATTATTTTTTTCCTAAGGTATCTATAATATCACTTTTTTTAAAATCTGTTCTTCACCAGTTAATGTTGCACCGATTCATTAATATTTTCGGTTAAGCACAATCGCTTGATGGATGTCTTGCTAGCAACTTTTCAATTCAACGAGAAAACATACAAGTAGTTATGTCTTTGGCCATGACAAAAAATTTATATGTAAATGTATTGTAATCAATCAGAAACTTAGTATAACTTCGTCAGTTTTCATTAGACAGTAAAGCGATTTTAACCAAATTACTAAAGTTTTGGCAAATCCTGAGCTCCTCAACGTTAGTATTAATACATGGATTAACCGTCACAGATTTAAAAAGTAATTTTAATAGTTACCACTTATTATCAGGTCAGATTTAACACTGGCTTTCTCAAACGAACCACAAATTCAATTTTCCAAGTAAAAAAAAATTTATAATTGAGAATGATGATACAAACGAGCATTGATAGAAAAGTAGTAATACAAGATATTTTTTAATTAAATGAAATAAAATCACCATAAAATACATTTGTTTGAAAATCTATAGTTCTTAATTTTCTTAATTGAATTATATATTAAACCACGGGAAAAAATTCTGATAAAATGTCACGTGGTTGTCTCACGACTATATGCGGGAACAACCAATCTTTACTTTTGGAGAGTAAATTCTACACTGTTCCCTCTACATCTAGGGAACTCATTCATTCCTTAATTCCTAAAAAATACAGTAGATACTTTAGCGTAAATGTAATTATATAAAAAACAAATAAAATAGCTGTAAAAATGAATACCTGTCATTCGGATCAAAGAAAGCACACTTAATGTTATTTTCTGATATTTCCAAAGGCTTAACTTTACATTCACATCTACACTTAATAGATTTTGTTCTAATTTTTTCGTAATTTTGTTTTAAAAAGATTGGCCCACAATTGGTTTCTTTAGTAGAATATAAACTAATAAATAGATTAGATCGATTAATATATAGTTTTCTTGAAAATGAACGACGATAAAAAGAAATTATATTATGAGCACTATTATTTGGAATAATGAGCGTGTAAAAAGTAAAATCAGGTAATTTATCATAAATACTATCTTTCAAATTGTAAGAGAACGTGCATACACTAGTTTTATTTTTTTGAGCATTAAAAAAGTGATGTCCAATAATGAAAGAATCATTTGAAGAGTCTAATTTAGTTAATACAGGAATTCCTATACAAGGGGGAATTTCATTGATATATGGATCATATTCAAAGTTTAATAGTTTTGTATTAATCGTAGTTTGACCATCTGACGTATTTTCATTTTTGAAAATCTTCAACTGAGTATTGAAATCTGAAATTATGAAATTAAAATCTATATAATATCCAATTACCATCCATATGATCTTTAACTTGCATTGACGTTTCTTAAATTTTTTCTGAATACAATGGATTATAAGATTTGGTATTCCACCTGGCGAACAAAGTACTTGACAGGTAAAAAAATTATTCTGTGACTTTTCCATATCAATAACAGTTGCAAAAACATTACAGTCTGCTTCTTTATTTTGAATAATATTTAAGATATTTGGAGGTATAACATCCTTAAATTCAAAGATTTTTGGTTTTCCAAACTTTTCCAAGTTATAACTAATTACTTTAAAGCCTGAATGATGGATTCTTTTCCCAACAGATTCAATGATTTTTTTACGTAAATAATCAGGTATAGGTTGGAAAATACTAATTAGGCCTTGTAATTCTATACAATCCCAATTTTTATAATTTTCTAAGGTCTTAAACCAAGCTTTTTCGTCAAAATTTTCAAGGTCACTTTGTTCTCCTCCAATTAATTTTGTATAGTTAGATTTATAATGATTTGACTTTGCTTCTGAATAACCGGCAGTACCCGCTGCATTCACTTCCAGAGTCCCTCCGGCATTTACTTTCATAGAGGCTTCTTTAGAATTTTCTGCAGAACATCCAGTTGATGTTGCACGTTCATCATAATGTGCTCTACCACCCAAAATAACTGTCGTTGGGATAAACTGACCATATTGCTCAGTTATTTGTTTAAACTTTTCAGCAGAATCTTCAGATTTAATGGCTTTCTCTACTTCTTCAATAAATTCTTGTGTCGGTTTTAAATGATCACCAAATTTTAATGATACTTTGTCATATTGTGTAAAACTATAAGAAGAAATATTTTCAGAATTAATTCCTTCATTTCTCATATTTCCAATTGATATTCCTAATTTTCCCAAGCTTTCTAAATTAAAATCAGTACTAAAAATTAAGTTTTTTTTCATAATTCTATCATGATTTGACTTAAATTCAACAAACCCTTTCCGACATCCTTCAGCACCAATTTTAAACAATTCACAATCTTCTATTTCAAATGCTCTCTTATCTGCTTTCTTAATTCCATTAGAAGTCATGGTACACCCATAATCTATTTTACGTAATTTACTCAAACATTTCCAATCAGGTTCTGAACATTGTTTTAAGTATAAAATATTATTTTCATCAATAATTACAATAATATCATTTAGAAGGTAATCCTCCTCTTCTTCAAGTTGTATTTCAGAAAATCCATAATTAATATTATCGTTGTTGTCATCACGATACTTTTTTGAAAACAACAATGTGTTATCAATAAATTTCTTATCTTTAAGTTCTTGACGAATTATTGATAAATTATTTTCAAGATTTAAACGGACTGTCCTAGCGCTGGGTGGTGGATATGATGGCGGGTCGACTATAGTTTTTACTGTTACAATAGCGTTGGAATCTATAAGAAAAGACATTATATAAATTTTTTTTTTAAAAAAAAAATTTAGAAAGGGGTTTATATGTCGCACATATTATTCAAGCCATTTGTACACAAATAAATATGTCCCCCGACAACCGGAGATCGAATTTACCGTTGTAACACCAACAATTTTATAATTAAAAATTCTACCCCACATGACCAGTGACATTTAAGGGAATGTGAAAAATATAATTTTGGAGGCAAAAAAAACCCGTCCCTCAGATAAAATATAAACAATGAAAACGCGGTGGGTGTGATGCTGCTGGTGATGAATATTTTTAGGTCACGTGGAATAGAAAATTAGTTGGTGTAGTTGGTGTTACCGGAGATCGTCACGATCATTCAACACGTCACATAAAATAAATAAATAAATAAATCATTCAACACGTTTAGGTCTCTCATATGACGTTATTACTCATAGATACAACGAATGGAAAGGTAAAAAAGACCGTTATTTACAAAAAACAATGGAACCTACAACTACCAATACAAAAAAAGGTATTGCTACTACGCGCATGTATTACAAAGAATACAAGAATCTTGAATTTGATGCCGCTAGAACACCACAGCAAATCAAACGGTGGAATCGTTTAAAAAATATGATTATTAGATCAGAAGAACATTTAACTCGACCTAAACCCTTCTTGGTTAAAGATCGTTCTAATGTTTACAAAAACTGCAACACTTGGTGGAACGAGACTCGTTAACTGTCAAAACTGACATCATCAGGAGTTATATTCCATGTAGATTTATGTGAAAAATATATATAAAATCTACATATACTATTCTATGTAGTTTTAAGGACCCAACGTGGATTTCATGTGAATCTGATTTTATGTGTAAAATATATTTATATAGAATTATATAATTTTTTTATTTAACATTCAATAAATTTTATTGTATGTATATTTTATATAATTATTATTTAATATTATAAATTCGTAAATTGTAAATTTATTGTAAATAAGTTTTATTTTTAAATATTACACAACAATAATACATGATTTCCTTATTGTTATTAAATGAAATTCTAATAATTTGAATATAATATCACCTAATATTCCCAAATTATTAAGGTCCATGAAAATCCTTAAATAAAATACTGATACCATGGGTTACAGAGGAGTTAGTTGTACGTGTACCATAATATCCAGTTGGCTGTTGATGCAGTATCATTATGGTGAATGTCTTATTTTATTGAGCAATATATCATTTTGTTAGTAGAATCTTTCCTAGTAGAAGTGCGAGCAGTTTGATCGTATTACCTACAAAAATAAAGAAATAAATATAAATCATTAAAAAACATTTCTCCAACAAATAAACAAATACGAAATTCTCCACCTAATTTATGCCTACCTGCCCTTCAATAAGTCCAGTTCGTTAATCTTGGCATTTCTATAGAAAAAAAGAAGGAATATAAATACGTTTCTCAAACCAAAAAAAAAAGAAATCCTGCTAATATATACTTACACCATATCTTCCATTAAATTCTCAAATCTAGTACGTTAAACTCAGTATTTCTACAAAAAAAATCCATACTCTCTTAAACAAATAAATAAAAAAATTCCCACATTTACTTATACTCACTTGCTCCATTAATTTCAAGTTGTGTTTGTTAAACCCATCACCTATTTTTATACATTTATACATACCCGTTAAGTATTTTCAAATCCAGTTTATCAAATGCTGTTATTCCTACAAAAAAAGAAACATTAAAATATTTTTTCAAAATAAATAAAATAATTATACACATCCATCTTCTATTATTCGTTAAAGAAAGTCCAATGTCCTAAGTGAATATATATATATATTTTTTATTAAGAATTTTTTATCTGGAAACCTACAAGAAAGAAAAATTCAGTAAGAATTAAACAAAACTCCAAATCACTGAATACAATTTTAGCAAAAGATATTGCGAAAGATCAGGTGAAAGAAGTCATAGAAGAACAATGTTACAAAAAAGGACAGATAGCTAAAACAGTGACACCAGATACTGTACAATTACAACAAGCTCGTTAAATATAGAAGATTATTTAGAGGGGAAGATAGTAATCATGAATATGTTTGGAGTTTGCATTTACTAAAACAAATATTAATAAAAAGGAAAAAGAGTAAAAATGTATTGGTAAAAGTGCAGAATGAAGTTGAATAACCATTTGAAAAGGTTATGGAGGAAAAATAAAGGGAAAATGGACGGAAATAGTAGTTTTGATAAATAAATATTTTGAAACTAAGATGAGATCATTGGCGATGTAAAAATTTTTAATAGTTTTATTTCAATAAAGTGTGTTATTTAGAGAGTAAAGAAACTTTTCAGTATTATACTTTTCCACCAGAATGAATTTCTTCAATTTGGTCACGTATCAATATTGGATATTCGATATTTATACAGGATAGTAATCTTTTTTTTTTTTTAATAAAGTATTTTTTTTTTTTTTGATGAAATATTAAAATTTTCGTATTTGATAGTGTGTAATGGTAATTAAAATGGAGAAAGTTCATATATTTGAAAAATAAAGTGAAAGAATTTTTTTATTGACAGAGTAAAAAAGTAAAAGATTGCAAAGTTTTTTTTTTTACCGTAAGCGAAGTAAAAAAAAAAAGTTTATCAGTTAAAGTAAATGGTTAGTAAAATTTTTTGAGTATAAATTAGTTTATTCCATTCCTAAAAAGGAAATCACTCAAAGACAATTATGTTCCTATGTTTTCTTTCATGTAGCGTTTTATGTATAGCTCTACCTACTACTAGTTATTTTTATATATCTTTTTCTCATTTTTTCACTGTCTAATTTCGGTCATGGTCAGAATAATGAGAATATACATGATTACTTTATACTGATGTAAAAGTATTTTTAAATGTTTTATTTATTGTACTTGGTTATTTTTTTATTGGCACGAAAAAAATTAATTATTACATTGTCATTTGTCATTTAGTACTTTATTTCTTTGAGCATCATTTATTAGAATAATTTTATCTTAAAAATATTGTATGTCTTTTAAAATCTTTATATGTTTGTCCTCTATTTCGTCAATCAAATATACTGTGCCACACTGCACTCTTGACACATGTACTAATGGTACGAGTAAATATAGAGGATGCCACACTTTTGAGAATACACCATATAAAACATCCACTGCCAATATCTTATATATGTAGTATGTAGAATTATATAAATCAAAAAAAAATTACTTGTATTAGGTGGTATAATATAAGTATATTTCTGAATTATGGAATCAGATAGTTTTGTATTATATATATATATTACTTTAAATTTTATACTTATTTAAAATTTAAATAAAATATATAAATGTTTTTAAATCTATACAAATTTATATGAAAATTTTATACAAAATATGTACTTGAATTTTATATGTATGTAATTAGTATATAACATATTTGTATAATATTTATTTAATTATATATTATATATAAATTTATATTTAAATAATTCTATATCTAAATAATTTTATTCAAAATATTTGTATAAATTTATTTGGCTATAAATTACACATATATTTATATTTAAATAATTTTATATTTATATAGATTTTATATAAATTATTTATAATAATTTTATATTTATGTAAAAAATAAATAAATTATTTATATATATTACGGATTTATAAAAATTTATATAACAAATTTATATTGGATACATATAGGTTAATAGATGTTGCATAGATTTTATAAAAAATACAACTCCTGATGTTGGGTGGATGATGGACTAAAGGTTGGACAAGGTCTTTTAGATTCTATGTTCTCTTAAATAGTCTTTCCGACTTCACATAAAATAAATAAATAAATAAATATCATCACGACGGCACGTGACCATATTTGTGTAATCGCTTCAGACAAATAATGGTAATGATTATAATGAATTTCAAAATTTATCAAGCTAAATAAAACTACTGTTGTAAATCCGGTGCGAAAAAGAGATAAAACTCAGATTTGCGATTTCATTGGATGACGTGAGGGACAGAGAAACTCACGTGATCGATCAATTTTTATAATGCGTAGTCCTTTCGCTTTGCTCCGGACAATTACTGTTATATTAATTGCCGATTCGTCTAAGAACAGCACTGCGTTACTAATAAAATTCGGGGTTGAATTTGCCGATTTTGTGCTAGAACACAATCTTCAGAAAGGGATATTTTCATAGACGACATATTAACTATAAATAAAAGTCATATGATATACTGAAAAAATACTTGAAAAAAAGAATTTGCAAAAAAAAAATTATACGTTCATATGCAAAATAAGGAGTTTACTATGTACGCGCGTCAGATTTACACCTTAAAATGTAAGAAATTTCAATATTTTATTTTACTATATTATGTTATTTACATTACAAACATATATTTTTTGGCTTTCTAAGCTTTTTTTTAAAGACTTTTTTTTAAATATTTTTCTTTATAGAACTAGTAAAAAATTGAAGGGTACTTTTATTTGTGAAATGGGTGAAATGGGTGAAAGTTTATCCCGCGCGTGAGATGTAAAAAACGGGGTTTTTTATTATCGTTATTATCCCCGAATTTTATTAGTAACGCAGTGCCGATTTTAGACGGATTGGCAATTAAGTGAAAAAGGTAATAGAATGAGGTAATAATATTATTATATGATTACGCATCATGGCGGATTTATGAAATACCCTAAATTTGTCCGTCATGTCAAATTAAATAAATATTTGACAGTCTTTTAGCCACCAAATTTCCCAAATTTATTAGTGAACAGTCAAAAATGAGCCCTAAAAAATTTTTTTATACCCCAAATCTTGCGTCTAACCAATTTTTCCGTTACCTAACCAATTTTTCCAGTGTTAAAGGTGCATCATATTTGACATTTTCTAGGAAAAAAGCTTAATGTTTCTGTAAGTCAATTTTAATTCCCGAGGGCGCAGCAGGGTTTTTGCCAAATTTCATAAATCCGCCGCAGTGGTATAACATCTGAGTTAAAATTTGAATTTTACTATATTTATTACTTAAAAAAGTTCTCAAGATGTAAACCAGATGTTAGACCAAATAAATACTTCAGAATGGATAAAAAATGTCAATGAAACATATAAAATACTATAAATATAACGAATTTAACAAAATCAATGAATTAATTATTATTAAAGAAATGTAAGTAATTTATTTAAAATTTGCTCGTATATTGCTCGTTATTTTGAGTAAATTACAATTGACGCTTTGTCATTTAAATTCAAAAGATAAACTGATTTCATTTGTTCTAGAGCGAATAAAAAAAAAGGACAATAAGATATTTATTTTTTTATTTTGTTAAAATTTTTTTTAATTAATTAACTAACAGTCACTCATTGCCTCGCACCAGGATTAATATTTATTAATCAATATAATAAATTAAATTTTTAACCACTTTATTATAGTGCAACTTGTACATTTATAAAAACAATAGTAGGATAACCCATTATAGTATTATACATATAACTTGTACTGAAGTGTAAAGTTCTTATCTAATACATAAAATATTGTATAATATATTAATATAGAAAAGATAATTACTATTGTTTTAGTAATGAAGTATTTAACTAACTAATTTATGATTATTTCTGAGTGGCTAATATATTTTTGTCATACTAATCTACTAGTATGCTTCAGTTCTATTTTTAATTATTTCTTTTTTTCTTTTTGAACTATTATGTTATTTATATATGCTTGCAAAAATATCCTCCCATTTTGTATGTAAGGCGTCCAGCGAAAAAAATTATTTGCCTAAACTAGACTTGGTTATTCCATGTGAGACTACTCGTAAAATATTAAACACTACAATACGTACTTTTTTTTTGTTGAAATGGCATAATTATTCTACACGATATACAACTTTTTTAGAAAAAGAACTCTAAATACCTCATATGCAATTAATTTCACTGAAATTATCGTCATTTAATTGACTTTAATGTTACCCCTGTTTTCAATTTGCTTTGTATGATTCATCTATCTCTTCTATGTTGACAAATTCGTAATGATCATAATAATATTCGCTTCATTGATACGTTGTTCTATCGAAAGTATATCAGCAGCAGAAACGTAAAACACAGTAATTTAGGATGAGAGACGTTACAATTTACAAATTATCGTTTACAAATGAGATTTAATTGTGCCCTCAAAATACATATTATTTGCATATTTTAATAATGTAATTTTATTGTTCAGTATTTTGTACAGTTTTATATAAATAATTTGTACATTTCTAAGCAATAAGGCGACACAAAGTGGTATAAATGGGTTTCATATCCCGGCGGTCAGTTTTTGTTAAGTCTTAAAAAAAAATTTTTTATATTACAGCAAAATTCAAAATATACGGGACACTTGAGAAATTTGATTGTCGGGTTGTCAGGTAGCCGGGTTACTCAGCAGTAGGTAAGTAGGTTATTATATAATTTGATATAGTACTACTATTATTATACTCATGTCACATGTTATTTGTACTTTCTAATAAATAACCACTGCCGAGTAACCCGACTACCCGACAACCCGACAATCAAATTTCTCAAGTGTCCCGTATATTTTGAATTTTGCTGTATTTTAAAAATTGAAAAAAAATTCAAATTAAAAGCTAGGTTGCCGGCGGGTTACCATAAAATTAAGTTTGTATGGCCTAAATTATATAAATTTAATTGAATTCATTGCGCGTTTATAATCTACTAATTTATTCACTTGTGCTATATATTGATTAACAGTCGCAAAATATATATGAATTGTACGATCACATTATTACATGATGTACACACTTGCTATTCTTAATTATATAAATTTTAAGAACCTTGGAATCATCGCTTCTATAAAAAGGGTAATAAGAAAATGCTCGAACGTAATCAAGTTTCGTCAATAATTCTATCCGAAGCACACAATAGTGTTAATCGAATAATCATGTGACCGACGATCATGTTACGAATGTTCGATATGTTTAACATATGCAACATATTTAACATATAGCACATATTTAATATATTTAACATATAACATTAATTTATTAAACATGTAGCATTTATATAATATTTTAAACATGATTAGCATAGATTTTATTGTTATAAATACATGCGTTCCAAATCAATGTAATAGTAGATAATTTTGTCTTGAATTTAATAAAGCATTTATTGAAAGAAGTTATCTCATTGTTTATTTTAGAGTTTTGTTCTATTGTGAATCAATATTTGCGTCTGAGTGTATATGCTAGTGTGTGCATTACCGTATTCGCATTTGATTGAATTTACATTTGTTTATTGTGTAACCTTCGTAAATTGATCGGCAGTGATATATTTATTAATATTTTAATATACTTTATTTCACTACGCGTTTATTAACATTTATTAACATTTATTTTACTTATTATTCCTTCTGCTTACCATATACATATACGCTTATTTTTATAAGCATTCAAGAACTGGCATAAAAATAGCCAAGATGATAGTATTAATTCTCCGCAGTAGCACGTGATTATACTGTCCGCAGTTATGAGATTGATTTTGTGAGTTTACGTTCTCCCACCCATTAAATGCTGATTGTAAAAAGCGGTCTAAAGTGGCTTAATTAGTAGGATAAGTTTATTTGATCAGTGATTATGTAATAATGATGTAATGTATATGCGCATGCCGTCCCTATAAAAAAATTGGATACGTTTTTTATAAAGTTTTTATACGATTTTTTTCCTTAGAAATAACGTATCATAATAGGATACGGGAAAATGCACAATTCCGTATTACTAAAAATATGGTTTGGATACGGAATTTGCACGGAATTCATATGGAATTTACATGATTTGATCACTGATTTTATCACGAAATTTATACGATTTGGTCACTGAATTTACTATTTGTATTACAGTTTACTATAATTATATTTACATAAATCTAATTTTACTTTATTAAATTAAATAAAAAATAAAAAATAAACAAAATACAAATACATTATGAAAATTCC